ATGGCTTCACCCCTCAAGCTCGAGATACGTGTCATGAAAGTCTAATAATTAAATTAAAAAAATTTAATATTAACAAACTAAACTAAATGAAAAAATTAATTAAAAAAATAAAAAAATAAAATTTCAGGTTAACTCGTTAAATTAGGTTAATATGTCAAACATAAAATTTGTGCTATGAAAATTTAATAATTAAATAAAAAATTAATACTAACAAACTAAATTAAACAAAAAAATTCATTAAAAGAAAAATATAAAGAAAAAAACCCTTAAAAACATAAAAAATAAATAAAAAGAAAAATAATAAAGAAAAAAACACAATGTTTTATTACGAAGTATACTGTACAGTGCACATTAAAATATTGAACAGTTTCAATATATGTTATAATGATTATGATTTTTTTGCCGTGCTTGAAACACGTTGAGCATCATTAAACAATTTTTTTTTTTTTTAACGTTGAAAATGCATGGACAACGTATTTAGTACGACCTGCAACATGAATAACAATACATGATAATAAATACAGATCTGACTTGGCTGTAATTGCCCTTTACCTCAATTTTACAGGAAAACACATCCAAGGGAAAACATGACCATAAATGAACCCAAAATAACTAGTAAAAAGAGTAAAAAAAATAAAATTTGAGTACAATAGAATGAGCACCTGGACATTATAGTTCAATTGCAAAGATGCCAGATACAATAGTTGCGCTAAATTCATTCTGGAAGCATTGTTTATCCATGAATGTCGTTTTACATATATTACAAAATCAATAAAATTCCCAGTATACAGGCATCGTACATCTGTTTTCCAACAATTTTGGAGCTACAATATACAACAGCTCTTCCACTCTTTACTGGAATTGCCGCATAAGGGCCTGTAAACAATAAGTGATGGTTGTGCTAATCAGTATTTCTCATCAGGTAGCCTACAATGCATCCCAGGATAGCTCCGGCAACAACCTGTTCAAAGCAATAAGCTGGTTATTTGCACTTGAATGTCAATCTCAATACGTTTAACAAACTTCTATCCGAACTAGCATGGAATAATTGTGAGATATGACAGAGCATCCTCCCATTTTCCTTGCACCCCACTTGGAAGGATTTGGAAAGTATACATTATCTAGCAAGGAATCATGAAAAAATAAAAGGCAAATATTACTAATTGACTTGCTGTAATGATTTCTAAAATCTCACCCTTCCCCTTAGAAAATGTTCTCCACGAAATTGTTTTCAAATTTCAAGAACATAAAAACTCTTCCCTCAGCAATCACTGAATATGCCAAAACTTAGGCTACATTCTTATCATAAAAGCCTCCCAATAACAAACTTTGTTTTATGGCCAGTTCTATCAACCTGTGCCTTTTGGAAGCAGGGAAAATGCTCTTTAAGTCTCCATGTCTCATTTCTCCCTTTTTTTTTTTCTATCCCCGTATTTATTGTTTCCAATCTTGCTATCATAAGCCATTTGGTATTCTTTTTTATTTTTCACAAAGATGTTTCCAATTTACACTGTCAAGGTACTTTGTCTACAGCATGAGTAAAGAAGGTGATTATAAAGCTTGCAGCAGCCAGTAAACACTAACTAGCATCTCATCTGGATGGTTATCATTTGACAGTAAATTGAGAACTTTTGAAATGCAGAATACACAAACACTAATAAGAAAAAAAAAAAAATACTAGCATAAAACAGAGAACTTGTTTTTTGAAACAAAATGCAGTATATAATGCAACAAACCTGAAGGGGAGTATGTCCAAGTAATTCGCGCAGAGGTCTAGAACTGGATAACGGGTGTTCTGGAGGAAACTCACAGACTATTTGATTCAGCAACTGTAACAGGCACACAAAAAAACAACCATGTAAAGCAGTAGAAACAAAAAGACACCTATGGATGTGCCAAAATGCACTTGCAAGTTGCAATAATAGAAGCAAACAAAAAACACAACCTGGATTTGCCAGATGTGTCAAGATGACTTACTTCAGCTTGCCGACCAGCATGAAGTCTGACCCCTGAAGCATCATACATCACCTGCAAAAATATAAAAGCCAATCATGCCAACCTAAATGGCACTACAACCCTATGAATTTTATAACATGTAGCAATATAACCGGGTGAATCAAACTTCATGATTAATGAGGGATTAACACTAAACAGAAAACATAAATGGCATTACAACCCTATGAATTTTATAGCTAGTATGAAATCATCCAGATCAAAAGCAGGATAAATCAGGTTAGATCATAAACTTGACAAAACTTGCTGCATCCCAGCTAAACCAGCTTTTAAGGCTGCCCTGTAACATCCATTAAAACCTAGATATTGGAACGGGAAATTATATATGAAATCGTGCTAAATGTTTTGGTCTAAAGCATATTGGGATTGCAAAACTTTCTTGTTTGAGAGAACTGAGAAGGGAAATCAACAAATATCTTCACTTGCAGGGTTAGCCATGTTAGGTTCAATGAAATTTCCACCGCTCCAATCAATTATTCTAGGATCTTCCACTGCATCATTTCAATTGCAGATTAGGCACATTTGAATATCCGAGACTACTTGTATCATCTTCATTCCTTTGGTTCAAACAAGGAAACATACTATTCTAACCTTAAAACTTGACATCAAAGGAGACTCCAGGTCAAGACATAAAATTTGAACCAAGTAATTCCTCAAACAATATGCCAGGATTTTTCCCTTCCCTTTTGGTTGGAAGCTAGTGAAGTGAGTCATCATGGCAGTCACAAAAAATGCAAAAATGCATTTTTTTTCATTGTCAAAAAATGCACATCAAGCATGAAGGAAAAGTACGAATTCTTCCCTCACCACTAAAATTTCCTTAAAAGAAGAACTTCATAAACCTCCAAAAAAACTGAGATTGCTTACTTCAAAATTTACTAAAGCTTCAAAGGAGCCCACCAAGTAATTCCAATTCAAATCAATACAACAAGGGGAAAAAAAACATCATAAAACTAATCAAGTTGTGAAGAAAGTTGGAAGCCAATGTTAGTGAACAATATCAAAAACAGCAAAGAGTCAGGCCGCATCACCAGAGTGGGAATATGTAAGATATAAGCAAGCAAACACCACAAGAGAAAAGGGGGCGTCTTACAACACAGGCCAAGACAACAACAATGGCAAAAGCAGGCGATGCCGTCCCTTCTTGCAAACCTACAGCCACAGCTAGAGCTGTAACGGTCGCAGAGTGTGAAGAAGGCATTCCACCAGAGTCGAGCATTCTTTTAGAATCCCATCTCTTTTCTTTATACCTGAGCATCTAGGACAAGAAATGATCTACATTTAAACTCAATAAATTAATTACACAGAAGAGCCAATATTCAAATCAGACGAAAATGGGATGGGATGGGATGGGTAGGGAAGGACCAGGTGGTGAAGAGCTTGAGGAACTGAGCGAGAGCACAGGCGAGCAAGGCAGAGAGGAGGGGAAGGTTGTATGGTAGAAGAGGCGCGGGTGATGATGAAGAAGAAGAAGAGGAAGATGTGGTGATGGTTCGAGGCCCAATTCTTGATGATTCCAAATCTCCAGCTGCTGCTGCATCCATTGTTTCTCTCTATCTCTTGACCTAGGGAGGGAGGGAAATGAGGAGGAAAGAATGAAAGAGTGGTTGTTGAGGTAGGAAATTGGACCTTTTCTTTATCTGAAAAATTTGGTGGCATGCCAGCCTGCCAGATCTCCTTGTTATTTAATTAATAAAATTATAATCGGTTGTTCTTTAAATCAATATTGAATTAAAAGTTTTTGCATAATAATAATTTTTTTAATAATATATTTTTATTTTATTAAGAAAAAAAATATAATAATATTTAAATATGTTTTTGAACTGTGATAAGATATATATTTAAATATGTTATGTTTTTAAAGTGAGATAGACATGTAATTTAATTTTTAATTTTTTAACTCCATTAGTTGATTGGTTTTGGTTATTTTATATAAAAATATAATTTTATAATATTTTTAAATATATTTTATGAGTTAAAATATATATATTTTTATTCAATTAATAAACAAAAAAATAAATTTTTAATTAACATTTTTAAAAAATTATTATTCATATAATAATTACCATTTATTTTTCATGTCAATCAATTAACTGATTTAATTGACTATTATGAGTTGATACTAATAAGTTAGTATTATTTATTTTAATCTTAATTGATATTATAGTTTTGAATTATGATATTTAATTAAATATTGTATTATTTATTTATTTAATCATTATAAACTAATTGATTATTTTTTTAAAATTTAATTAATGTCATATTTAAAAAATAAAATATTTAATTAAATATCATAATTTATAACCAAAATTATCACCAAAAAAATTCGTTGCTATGTTAATTCATCATTTTAAAAAAAATTCTAATATCCTTTGTTTGGTCAAATTCACAGCTCATTATCACCTTGTTGTTGTAACTTTAACCTCTAATCAAATTATAACACTATTGAATCTTTAAAAAAAATAAATTAATTCCACTGTTAGTTAATATACTTGCCTAATGAAAATCATAGATATTTTATAATTTTAATCCCTTTTCTTATTTAATCAGTAAGCCTATGCCAATTCTCACATAAAATTTAATGTCTTGCTGTTGATATTTGACTGGACAACTTGATCGGAAGAAAACTAATTTCTTTCTTCTTCTGTTTTTTTTCTTATAAATAATTATATTTATATTTTTTTCTAATTCAGGAATAGACTCAAAGCTGAATTTCTTCATAATTTGTGAAATTTTCAAGTCCAATCCATTTGTTTTAGTTTTTAACTTTCTCGGTCACTTTAAATTAGTACATTAAGAATGAGTTGAATACTTGAATCTGAGTTCTGAAATTAATTAATTAACAAGGTATTCTCTACCTTGAGAATAATATATATATATATATATATTAAAAAAAATATGACGACAATTGCATAAACAAATTATTCTGACAACCTAAGACATGAGTTAGTTCCTATTTCCGTGTTGTGTTCTTTTGCACAGCTCGCTATCTCTTTTCGTAGTCTATCCTATGTACAACCTCTATGCTGAATAAATATCAAACAGTTTAATCTCCCGAGGACTCGCATTTACACACAAGTTGATGTCGCAGAAACAGTTTCAGATTAGAGGATAGTCCTGAGCTTCACGCTGAGAGGATGAAACTGAACCACTATGTTTACTTGGCAATGGTGTATTCCTTCGAGACTGGCGCTTTGTTGGGACCAGATCAGGTTCTTTCTCAAACTCTTCGGGTGCTTCATCACTGTCGCTATCATCTTCGCCTTTAAAAACTGGGTGGCTATAAGCATTTTGAAGAAAGCTTTTCAGGTTCAGGTTTGGCTCTCTGGCACGTTCCAACGTATCTTTCATCATTGCTTCCTGCAAAAAAATGAAATGACAGAAAAGGAGGTGATGAAATTAATCAAGAAAGTTTTTGAGATTTTATACAGCAGAAACTGCTTGTAGTCTGTCTCAAGAAATATGCAAAATTTGACATACCTGCAATGGATATCTAACAAAAGCAGGTTCATATCGGCCTTTGCAGAACAAATGGAACCATATTGTCAATATTGGGAGCGTAATGAGCAACGGTGTGGACTGAGCAGCTTCTTTTGTGCTTAACAATCCCATTAGCAGCAGTTGTGAGACAATTACTGCAACTATGATGCGTCCATGAACATCAGGCCAGAATGCTGCAGCACTCTCATACTCTTGATTGTAAACATTTATAATCTACAAATTCATGCAGCAATCTATTTTCAGTGAGGATTCACAATCCAATAATGTTTTAGTGCTTGTAATACGAACTGTACATTACACATGTATAATTGTAGTTTGAGTGACAATTCTGGATGTGATTCAAATTTTTACCTGATGACGATAAACAACAAATGCGAGGGCAAAGAATACAATTATGAAAGGAAGTAAGATAGGCGACACCACTGCATAGACGAGGCCAAGGAGGAAATAAAGTTGTATTTGTGGTTCCCCTGTGTTGAAACCAAGAGTTCCAGGATCCATAGCCTCTTCCCTATCCTTTTCAGTCTTCACCAAGAAGAAGTTTTTGAGGTGATAGATAATCAAGGGTTTCAATCTTAAAATCTCCCCAGCGACTCCAGCCCACCCATCAACCATTATGTAAGTTATGAAGAAAGTTGCCTTCATAGGAATCGAAACTCCAACTGTCTTTGGTATTCTGCAAAAATTCGCTTAGTGTGTCAAATAAAAATAAAACTCACAAGTAATTATGAACTAATTGAATTGCAAGAAACGTAATGCATTCCTAAATACTGCACCTTGAAGCAAATTTTTTAAGATTATTAGACTTGGAGCATCCTAATCACCACATACCCTTCGGGAGGTTTAATTTCTACTTAAACAATCAAACACAAAAGCATACGGCAGATTCATAATTCAATTAAAATGCAAAATTAATCAAGATTTACATGTGATGTTTAGTTTCTCTAGCGGCTAATGGACAAAGCATACAAGTAGATGTTTAACTACATCAAAAGAACAAGTTCCAATGCTGCATAAACTAATAAATTGGAAGCGTAGAACATATGAGAAGAACTTACTGAGTTGCAGACTGGTGGATAAAATTATCCAGTTGTTGAAATGCAGTTCCGGTGATTATGCTTCCAAGAAACACGTTAATGAATTGGAAGATATAATATCTAGCTGCAGATCTCCTCTCTAGGCTTGATAGACTAATGAATCCCTCGAATTTAGACATTAGCATCAATATTGAGGGTAGAAAAATAAGAAATATCTTCAAAGCTATTCCAGGAAGGAAACCTTGAATGAATGACTTAATCACTTTCCTGCATGAAAAACAAGAGGTTGCCATGTTTCAGGGGATAATTGCATTCAAGCAACGGAAAACAAAGCACAAATTTGGTAAAGGATTGAAATGATATTCTATGTTTTCTCCCCATATATTTTACTTTATTGAATGAATCATTCAACAACACACCCGAACCCTTGACAATTCAACTCTAATAAATTGACTCGCATCCATAGAAAAAGAAAACATCCACGACAGGTTGGAAAAAAAAAACCAATGACATTTTTTGAAGAAAGCTAAATATTATTCTGCAACATTTCCATCTTTTCATCCCCTTCCTAGAATCCACCATAATGTCATTTCCTGTTATCTACTAGAAACTGGCATAAGATGGCATTACAGCTTTCTGATGCCCAAAAGCTGAACTTAGATTATTTCTTTCAAAAAAGTATGAGCTAAGCCAAAGAAGTTGGCACAACTGATCTCCATTCCTACATGTCAAATATACCTTTTCTGCCTTTATCTTAACCTAAAACTTGGCCTAAAGGTTAGTGTTTTACCAGAAGGATTAGAACTGTTGTTTTGATTTAATTGCACAATAAAAAAAATACAAGTCAGTAGCTCGCTGCCAGGTTAAGTCTACAAGGAGTGAAGCAAATTTTCATGAAAATAAAAGGCACAATTTTCTCAAAATAAAGTTTAAGGAACTTCCGAGATGATATGAAGCAAGAAGGTTAGGAAGAAAGACAGCTATACTGATATAATATCATAACTTTGTCCAATCATGTACATTACAAGCATTTAATATGAAATAATTAAATGATATGCAGTTGTGAACCAAACAAATGACGAGCACAGCTATTTTTCCTAAGAATATAAGGTCACACTTAAGAAAAAGATACTCACATTTCAATTATAGGTTTCAGGAATGGGAGTGCTTTCTCAATTCCTTCAATGTTCGCAAGGGACTGTACAAATGCAATGGGAATCATGAAAAAGAAGGTGAGGAAGAAAAACGCAACAGCAATAACAAGCCTTCTTAGTGTGAGCGAAACAAATGGAATTGCGAGGTTATCCCAATATACATCACGGGGTTCTGGAGCCCACCCAGTCAACCATATAGTTGGATTTCTGGATTGTTGTGTTTGTGCACAAACAGCAGCTCCCCATCGAGTTTTGAAGGAAACAAATGCTGCTGGCATGATTGACTTGGGATTGTTCACAATCTTGTCTCTCTCCAAGGAGATCTAGCAATTGTTAATTTCAAAAGAAAATATGGTTAATTGAAAGTATAGAGATGACTACCTCAACAAAATTCATAATAAAAACATTAGTTAATTGTTAGATGTTTACGAAACTTTACAGGCTATTTAAATTCATGTATACAATCAAGTGAAAAAATTTCAGAGCTAGAACATTCTCTGTGCTATGGTGTCAATGCTTCAACAAAGTCAGACCTTCAACAAATAATGACTGAACTAGAACAAACAATTGATTAAAAACAATAAAAGCTTCACAGATAAGACGGAAAAAAGAACTAAAAAGGCCTAACTTTACTTTGAATGATGATAAATGTCAGTGAACAATTATGAAGTTAGGACAGAAATAGTTCACGCTGCAAGAAAGTAAAACAACACACTCTAAAATGCAAAACATATAATTTAAAAGTACCACTTACTTCTCTCGATAGTCTCTCAATCTCAGATGTGTAGTGATCAATTGCATCCACCCTATTCCCCCAAAGGCCAAGGAAACCAGTCTGCTCCATGAAAAATAAATTAGCACTACATGTTAGTGATTAAAATCAGAATAACATTTTCTCATAAATTGTTGTGTAAATTGAGTGTAGAAACACTACATCTGGAAGGGAGGGAGGGAGAGAAAATAAAAGATACCGGTGACTTCAATAGGACACTGTTAGCAATGAATACCTTGAGAGAAGGCTTCCTGGATTGGTTTCTTGAATATTTGATTTGATGGTAGTCAAGCCAGTTCTTCATCTTTTTCTTCTTGTTGACTAAGTTAGAAAGTTCATTAGCATTGTAGACAACCTGCAAGCAAATGTTTAAGCCAAGGGAAAAGAATCATAACATGATTCACCTACTCAAACCAGTTGTTTTGGGCCGAGTAGGTTAAGAAGATATAAATAAGATGAATTTTTCAGTTTTTTGGGCCGAGAAGGTTAACAAGATATAAATAAGATGAATTTTTCAGTTAGATGATGTGCATAAGCGTGATGGTATAAAACTAGAAAAGCAATGCAGAATTTTCTTCCAAAGAAAGGCTGGTGTAGTTCATAGACAGTAAAATTGAAAAGTAAATGGTCAAACTACAATTTTGAGCGAATATAAGACAAGCTTGTTGGAGAAAGGAACTGGATCCGTTCTGTGGCAACAAAATCTACATCACCTACTTAGGGAACCCTCCTGCCTCTCTTTTTCTTTCTTACCCTGGCAAATCTTTTGAAGTTTAAACTCCAATAAAAGAAAAAAAGAAGATACCGTGACTTTACTCTCCCAGTCCCCCTTCAGACACTCTAGGATCTTTTTTCTGTATCTGCTCTACAAATCAAGAGATAGATATACACAGATTGCACTTGTCAGATTCAGGAGTGTTCTAAGTGACAAAGGAGTTTGAAGGCCAGGTGAAGCTATTAAATGAAAACTTCTCTCTCTTTTATCATCACATATAAGATCTTTTTTTCTGAACCACATCACATACAAGTTCCCATTCTGAGATCTGAGTGATTATTATGAAATTGTGGATAAACAAATGTCAGTCATATTATGGAATCAAATAACTAGTCTTATAACAACAAAAAGCACTTAATCACTCTCCATCTCTCCATGTCTCTCTTTGGGTGGGTGGGTGTTAGCGTGCACGTGTGCTGGTGGGTGTATTTATCTATTGTTGGTATATGTACTTGTAACATGTGGAAGTATAAGAGGATCAAACCTGATGAGTGAGATAATTGCTAGGATGGTTAACCAGGAAAAAATGTTCCACGAGTTCACTAACTGATTCATCAGGATCTGGTGGCACATTTCTCACCAGTACCTACACCAAAAATACATTACTTCATCAACGAGGAGCTGGAAGAAAAGAGTTACTAAGGGTGCCCAAAGGAGATCATTTTCAAAGCATTCCAACTTATAAGAATGACCTGGTTATATAAATATATGCTACACAACTTCAACTTGATTACAATCAAAAGCTGCAGAGGACACAATCTGTTCAGGTGTTCAGATGCAGTTCTAAACTATCATTCTACTAAGAAACAAAAGTCAAGATTCTAATATGCACAAAAACAAATAGGACATGTTTGCTTCCAAATTGACAACCGACCTAAAAGAGAGTACCACTGGCCCTCATAAGAAAATTACTATTAAAGGAAAAGGAACTTTCAGTTGAAAGAGCACTCTAAAAACAAGTTGGCAAAGACTAGATCCAATAAAGCTCACCAAGTTGTAGTGGAATTAAACTAAGAACAAACTATAGGAACCAAGATGAAAAACCTGAACTTTGAGAACCAAAAATGAAGATAACCATAATATTTGCTAACAACACTTCTCTCTCTCTCTCTCTCTCTCTTTTTATCATGAGCCACCATTCTGAAAGAAGTTAGCAGAAAAAGAAGGCAGGTGGATCCACAAATGAGACTTTCACATGCAACTGGACTCTTGCTACCCAGCATAACCGAATCAAAACAATTTGAGCATTTCAGATATTTTGAACGTTAATATTTTCTATCAGGAAGAATGCATCCATGAGTCAATTAAAGCATGGTTGGCTGTGTGCATCTAACATCTGATTGGTTCTGAACATATTCCCTGTCCTATATCTTTAATTGATGATAAACATCCAACCTTCTTTTCATGCCATCTTTTTAATTTATGTCATAGTGCTTTACAGAGTTGCTCTTACTGTGAATTGATCAGGACGTCGTTTCTCTGATGCAAGAAAATGCAACCTCATTTTAGCCACTGTCTCATACTCTGTTTTTAGCACATAGCATGTCCAGAAGGTAAAAGCATAAGCCATCACCATATGGGTCCAGAATCTGCAACCAAAAATTTAAGTTGACTGAAAAGTTCAAACCTACTCTGCCACAAGAAATTCTATTGAAGGAAAAAATATTAAATTTCAATATTAATATAAAAAACTTGATAGTTCATTAGATCAATTTCTTTCTTAGTCACTGGGCTCCGCACACCAAAGGCTGCGGGATATTCCCCCAACCAACAAAGAGGTCTTGCCGGAATTGAAACATATGAAATTGAGCATAATTTTACAAACAAAAATTTCAATATTGATATAAAAAAAATAATAGTTCATTAGATCAATTTCTTTCTTAGTCACTGGGCTCCGCACACCAAAGGCTGCGGGATATTCCCCCAACCAACAAAGAGGTCTTGCCGGAATTGCCACATATGAAATTGAGCATAATTTTACAAAGAAAAATTTCAATATTGATATAAAAAACTTGATAGTTCATTAGATCAATTTCTTTCTTAGTCACGGGGCTCCTCACACCAAAGGCTACGGAGTATTCCCCCAACTAACAAAGAGTTCTTGCCGGAATTGCCACATGAAATTGAGCACAATTTTACAAAGAAATAGCCCACTTCTTTCTTGAGAAGAGATGGAAACATGCTAAATATCATTTGATTGAATAGTTGACCCAACTTCTTGTTGTTTGAAGAAACTCTCCACTTTAATTGGTATTTTTTTCATAAAAAAGAAACATAAGATAACAAATTCAGTCTTTCAATAGTTTAAGAATTACTCAACGTAGTTCATAGTTCACTACACTAATTTCTTTTTTTAGGGGAAAAAAAAAAGAGTTGATATAAAGCAGAAAGATAACAAAACAAAGGTAATAAGTCTTGTATACCTGCATGATCCTGTGGGTATATTTGATATAGAGAGCTTATCCAAATCACTGTAAGTTAAATTAGAATGCTCCAAAGTGTTATTTGTCCAATTAACTGGCACTGAGATAGTGAAGGCCAGGAATGCAATAGGAACAAAAATTTTAAGCCTGCACTTAAGAGGAAAAAAAGAAAAAAGAAGAAAGAAGAAACGAGTCTATGAGTATAAAGGTTATAGGTCAATATTATGCTCAGAATAACATTCAAATGATGGAACACATGCTTCCAATGCAAAATCCTATTGTGTATAGGAAAAGGACAAATCCATTCCACAGACAAGAATTGAATTGATGAATGTGCAAAGGATAAAATTTTCCAAAATGCTCAGAATAACATTATCCCAACTTTTTAAAGGAGATATATACTTAGTGATCGAAACCTCAACTTTTTTAAAGGAATACGATCAATTGAATGCAGGAGAGGGCTCGGCGTACAGTTTCAGCTTATGTAAGGCAGAGAGGAGCCCAATTCATTGTTAGCGGTGTAAATTTCCACAAACTTCCCTAAACTGTTCCAATTTTATCTATCCATTATAACAGAAGGGTAAATCGCAAATCTCAAATTCTTTCTCTTCAATGAGTTAAATGGAAAAACATTTTTGCACATCCCAAAAAGAAAGGGTGGACTAACAATTTGTGATTGGGGGCAGAATAAACCTACCAAAACTCCTAAGACATGCTGGCTTTGACTGATGAACAGTGACAATAAGTTTGTGCGTATTTTCAAGGTTAGGTGAAGAGGCAGGAGAGAAACAATTTAAGACTATCAAAATACCAGCTTCAATTGCAATTACACCACATATCCATCTATTTACTATATTTTTATCCACATTAATATCTATTTATAAATTGCCCTTGATACCGAGTATGAATCAGTTAGGTGTAGCTTAATGGTGACAGAAGATTTCAAGGTTTGCTCAGGAGAAAGAAGAGACAGTGGAGACATCAAGAATACCAAAATGACAATCAGGTTTCTTTCACATCTGCATCAGATATCCTAGCTATTTGAGTTTTTTGCCAATGTCGATCTGTTCATAAATTACTTGTGTTTTTCCATGATATGACTGCTTGTATAAGATACTCTCAATGCCAGCCACTACCAAAAATTGAAAATGTGATGGAAAGCCTCACTAACACTTTCAGGAATAAAGAACAAAAGATGTTATTCTGAGTTCCATCAATTTGCGTAAGGCAAGGCCAATCACTTAATTAGTGAATACACAACTAATATGCACATTATTTCCATAAAACAACATGAACTAGAAATACATCACTTGTACAAGTATTAGGCTATAAGCAAAGCCTATCACAACAAAAGTGCCGATGATACTATTCATATGTAGATATTGACAGTCTTTCTGGGACTGCAATAAATAATTTGCATGGCTAGACAGAGGTTGGCTTTAGATAAAGCAGGGAATCAACTTGAAATAGGGGAACCGTTATGTGGGGAAATGAGCAACAGCCTGCTCCGATGTTGTCATATTATCAAGGTTAGGTGAAGAGGCAGCAGAGAAACAATTTAAGACTATCAAGATACCAGCTTCAATTGCAATTACACCACATATCCATCTATTTACTATATTTTTATCCATATTAATATCTATTTATAAATTGCCCTTGATACCGAGTATGAATCAGTTAGGTGTAGCTTAATGGTGACAGAAGATTTCAAGGTTTGCTCAGGAGAAAGAAGAGACAGTGGAGACATCAAGAATACCAAAATGACAATCAGGTTTCTTTCACATCTGCATCAGATATCCTAGCTATTTGAGTTTTTTGCCAATGTCGATCTGTTCATAAATTACTTGTGTTTTTCCATGATATGACTGCTTGTATAAGATACTCTCAATGCCAGCCACTACCAAAAATTGAAAATGTGATGGAAAGCCTCACTAACACTTTCAGGAATAAAGAACAAAAGATGTTATTCTGAGTTCCATCAATTTGCGTAAGGCAAGGCCAATCACTTAATTAGTGAATACACAACTAATATGCACATTATTTCCATAAAACAACATGAACTAGAAATACATCACTTGTACAAGTATTAGGCTATAAGCAAAGCCTATCACAACAAAAGTGCCGATGATACTATTCATATGTAGATATTGACAGTCTTTCTGGGACTGCAATAAATAATTTCAGTGGCTAGACAGAGGTTGGCTATAGATAAAGCAGGGAATCAACTTGTAATAGGGGAACCGTTATGTGGGAAAATGAGCAACAGCCTGCTCCGATGTTGTGTGCTTGCTAAACACAGTTAACAATTTAAACTGATTATGTAAAAATATGGGAAATCTAAAACAAGCAGAAAAATGTTTACCGACTCAGATGACATTTTGGATCAGCAGTTAATTTTACAGTACATTCTCAGTTCTTCAATCCTACTCCATTTGCAGCAATCATATGTCTTGCACCAAAATTTAGCAAAATATGAAAAGAAAAGGAAAAAAAAAGAAACTACACGCAATTGAACGCCTAATGAATGCCTACTATTTATACTTCAAACAACTCAGTGGAGTAAACATAATATAGGAGACATCAAATTTGCAAACAGTTAGGACATAGATCTCTAACGACCAGTTTTTTGTTCGCCTAGAATATAACAGCAAAATTAAAAAAGACGATTGAGTTTACTATCAAACTAAAGCATCTGGAATCACACAAAGCATAACGAAAAATAAGAGAACCACCATACCCTATCAAGTAAATCCTCAAGTAAACAGCAGAGTCCAATCCAGCATGGTCAATTAGCTCAGGCTCCGGCATTTGCAATGCTGCGGGCATCCAGTTGAGAAACCTCACATACGACCTGAAGTCCAAATTGACAAACTTGCCTACAAACGCGCCAGTGCCCAATGGACTGCTCCTTAAACCCTTGATATACCATTTGGGGAAGTAAACCCTATCATTTACCGGCTGAATCCGAAGAATCGCAAACACAATAAAGAAAGCAAATGCAGTGAGTATATTAATAGCTGCTGCTACTCCTATATCACTTATTGTCGCCATATCCTGTTCACTTCACTTGGAAGAAACAATAACTTATCCTCCCTGCAACAAAGAGATTGACCTTAAAATACCATAAACCGGCTAGTAGGATCAAACATTAAAAGGACAACCTTTTTAACGTTCAAAATCATTGCAGCGAGACAAACAAAATCGCAAATGGGTTGCCATGAAAAGGGGGTGGGGCTAGCTTTTCAGTCACATGAGAATGCCAATCAAACTACCGGCATTTATCTGGAGTGTCAAAATCAAGGGGCTCACAAGATCTTAAATTCTCAAAAAAATTCCATCACTGCAACACATATATGAACACTAAAACTGATTAGTCAAAAAAATTGCTTCTTTCATCCCTATTTTCTCAGAAACCAAACACCCGCCTGAAAACAGAAGGAAAAAATATATATATATATTACACTGCAATACTGAACTTACCAGCAACGTAACTAAGAGGAATTCTATTCCAGCACATCAGAAACCAAACCAAAAGGAAGTTTCCTTTTCTTAATCAAATACATTATCTCGATGTTTTTCTCCACCAGTTAATTACACAGCAAACAAACAACTAACGACTTCGTACAAACATAATTAAGTTTGAAAAGATCCAAACAACTTGGTGTTACCTTTGAAGCGAGAAGACGACAGCGTTTAAGAGCACAATGGCTGAGAAACAGAAGAAAGAAACGCACGTAACAGAAAAGAAGAGACAAAAAAAAAAAACAAATAAGTACGTGCTAGTCGCTTCTCTCTAACAATTTCTTGAGTTATATCTCCGTTGTCTAATTTACTGTCTTCATCCTCAAAGCTAAAGTGAGAGCAAGTAAGATTCTTCGAACTATTATAATTATTTTCTGCGCTTCCTTTTTCTTCTTCTCCGTCTCTTCTAGTTTTTTGAAAAAAAAATTATGGAAGAGACGCAAGCAGTTGGAGTCATGTGAGAGAGATGAAGGAGAGAGAGACAGGCTAGAGCATAAAAAAGAAAAGAAAAGCGAGGAGGTGTCTCCATAAAACGCTCTTCTGACGTTACCAAATGTGTCGTTTTGGGTAACCTTTTAATATTTCTTATTTAAGGAAGAATTAATCAATGGGACAGGGAGTGGCGTGGCACGCCGTTAGCCCTATTGGTATTAATCATTTTTTTTTCAATTTATTTTTTTTATAAATTTACAGAAATATTTTTTTTTTGTTTTTTAAAATTTATTAAATTTACTTTGTAATTTAATAAACATTTAGGAGGTAAAGCAATCTTAAAGAGAGAGAGAAGGGCCAATAAAGTTTGCAGGTCGGTTTATTATGCATGTGGTTGGCATGTGATGGGATGGATCACTAACGGCTAGGGGTGTTCACGGTTCGGTTCGATTCAGTTTAAATTCAAAAAACCAACCGAACCGAATTACATTAATTTTATGAAATATTAACCAAACCGGGCCGAAAACCGGTTCAAACCGAACCGGTCCGGTTCGGTTAAATCCGGTTTTTTTGGCAAAAAACCGGGAAACCTAATCCCATCATCCAAATTTTTCTTATGGTAAGGAGAAAACACAGGCATAGAAACAGATGGATTTTACAGCACCTTTTGCATGAAAGGCAAATAAATTCAAGACAAAAACTTCCTTTATGGAGCCAGATGAAGGATAATTATCTTTAATATATATCCAAAACAACTCCTCCATGGTTTCCATTGTCATTAGTCCCATCGATC